CAACAGCCCAGAGGGCAGACAACAAATTGTGATATTAACCGAATAACTATGTTTTATTTATTTTATCACATCGGACATTCACCATGACAATCACAGCTACCATATATCACTCACACCCGCTCTCCCACAAAATAACAACACTTATATATGAAGTATGCAATATTTTATTTTATCTATTACAACAAGTTTAACATTACTCAATAGCATACATACATTGTTTGCTGAAAAAAACAACGAAATACACTCAGTAAATGTTATTTTCAGCCATGGATACTCTTTTAAGTTGAACCGTGTTTCAGCAGTGTGAATCACTCAAATTATCGAGAATAGTAACTTTTTGAAATGAATTGAGAAATTCTCAAACACAAGTTATTTGATCACTCTACAGATAAAAATGCCGTGGAAATGACTGAAAATACTTTCTCACGAACGTATCACACCTATTCACAAGCCACACAGCTTTGTTTAGAGCGTTTCCGGTTAGCATCGGCGTGGAACGCATAGAAATGCTCACAGCGTAGAACGCGCTGCAGCGACCCCGGCTGCGACGTTTCAGTGGCGGTTTTGTCGTACATTTTTGCTCCATATAAAAAATACCCTATACATCAAAACAGAATATCTTACTTAATATCCATTCTGGCACGTTCACTGTCTATTTCGGATGGCTAAAGTTCCTTCAGAACTCTGAAAGCAACCCCGAAAGCAACAGCGGCCAGAGCAGCCCCAGTGCAGCGAACGTCAATTTGTTATGCGCAGTAGCGTTGCGCAGTAGTTCAGTGACGTCATCCATGTGATATACCCATGTAATATCCACTTGGCGGGCAATATACCATGTAATATCCATTTTTATTCCATGTCACGTGACCGAGTCTCAACCAATCACAGCATGCGTAACAGCAGTGAGATGTGATAATTATAGTTAGTGACCCTCCTGGAAGGATATGTGACACAACTGTGTTAAACGATTATGCTACGGCCGATACTGACTTACATTTGTATTGATCACACGTGTATTATGATATGATGTTGTTACGGTACGGTTTATTGCGGTTCACAAGACAACAGCAGTTTTTTGTATGATGGCGTCAAGAGAACAATACATCCGACAAAACGAATGCTTAGAAACGACCACAAATACAAATTTTTACAAGGTGTATCAGTAGCATTTAAAGTAGGGTATATGGAAATATCCCGGGCTTGGAGTAGTCAGTTTACATGTTCAGTACAGTATAATGACAAACATCAAACCGAAATAGTACTGTGTTTGTGATAGGAGATTTCCGTGTTGTCTTCTGATTTCAGGGCACGTGTTTCTCACGCAATGACGTGTACTTGATATAATGCCAATAGTCTTGATAAATGGAACATTTAGCCTTGGTCATCTAGATAAAGATCTTATCTAACTATTCTGTGTTCGTCAACAATTTTTACACAAATATTTACACAATTTTAAATATGTCATCGAATTGCATATAAATTGTTGAACTACCAGTTTGGAGTCAGTCTTAATTGACACAACAAACAAGCAACATGGTTCGACGTGAAACAATTGTGTTTTTGCTGATCGTACTTGTCCAGTTTTCAGCACAGGCGGTGGTTAGTGACGCAAAAAATGACAAAACGGTAATTTTGTCGTTTTCCGTTTTCTTAAACATATATATTTTATGTTATTTATTCGAGAATGCATTGCCTTAATCGACATCGTAAGTATTACTAGGTATTTTAATTGTTTTCTGGGGAATGCTTTTTTTCAGACAAAGCCCGAACATGTGAATACTACGAACACAATAGAAGCAGTGGTCGATGACGTAAATGAAGAATTGGTAATTTATATTTATATTTTTGATTTGTCCGGTCGTTAAACTCGTATTTTATATTGTTCATTGTAAACCTGTATGTATTTTTATTAATCGTTCTGGGGTTTGTGATTTATTTCAGACAGAGTCAAGAAACGTGAATAGTTTGGAAGGAACAGAAGAAGTTGGAAACGAAGACGCCATCAATATATCACATTATAATCCATATCCAAGCGACGGTATGTATAAATATTTAACACTATCATGGACTGTTCTAGACAGTCGCCCACAAGACGATTAATATAAACTGTTTATTTACAATTTGTATATAAATAATTCGTCTCCAAGTCTTCGCATAAGTATCATTCCCACGTATAAGTCAAAATTACAATTTGTTAATGGATATTTATGTGTTGATCTCTGTAACTGGTATTGTATCATGAATTTTAGGTAGTGAGTGCTACGTACTGCCTGATGCCTCTGATTACCGCGGTACGGTGTCTATGACAGAGAACGGTCGTACATGTCAGAAATGGTCCGAACAGTCTCCACATCAACATACAATCATACCTAACAACTACCAATCTAGTGGTATTGGGGATCATAATTACTGTAGGAACCCCGATGGTTCGAGCCGCACATGGTGTTTTACGATGGATGTGAATACTAGATGGGAGTACTGTGATGTGGGGACAAAACAAAACACGTGCCTAGCAGGTGAATTGTGATATATGCATTAGTTTCTAATTCATTCGATTAGTGAAGATAAACTTTTAGCTTTTTCCCAACGTTTCCTATAAACAAGATGTAAACTTATTCAATTATAGGGACAAATGCGGGCGGTGTTGTTTTTACTCGATGGGGACACAATGCATGCCCTGGGAGCACAGTTGTCGTATATTCTGGTAAGCATTTTAATATATATTAAAATATCTAATTTGCGATTGACAAGTTGCAGCTGCTGTTTTGTAGCGCTAAGTTGAAATTCTCTACAAGTTCATGTTTATCGGTATGTCAATGAGGCGTCAACAATGTAGATGGCGCTACACTTACCGCTAAAAAGATAGAATTATGGTAGTGTCTGAAGCGAGCAAGATTCTTGAAAGTGACTACAAGAATGGTATTTTTTATGGCTTCCAGTTCAATTGTGTGCGGTAAAACAAAACCAGGAAAGGTTTCGTTGTACGTGACAATAATGTTGAAATTGGTTTCAGGATATAACATTTATTTCTTCATGAGCACATTTTTATTAATTATAGGAACTATGGCTGGTAAATATTATAACAATTATGGAAGTGGTGGTAATTACCTCTGTCTACCAAAGATTCCAAAGTATGACCTCGATGTCATTGATGCTGGTTCTGAATCTGATAGAGGGCGCTTGTATCCAGTGGAGTATCGAGCCGCCACCGGTCCCCTTTCTAGTAGCATGTATGATGATGTACCGTGTGCAGTGTGTTTGGATGAATACCGAAGTACTTCAATTCTATATCCGGCACGTGATGACTGTCCTTCCGGTTGGACGAGAGAGTATTATGGGTTCCTTATGTCCGCTAGATATGACACTACTTCCTATTATTCTACGGAGTACGTATGTGTGGATGCTGCCGGTAAAGCCATTCCTGGTACTTCAGCGTCTTCGAGTACGTCATGGATATATACCGTGGAAGCCACGTGCGTGACTGGGGGTGGAATAGCTTGTGACCCGTATGTCACTGGCTACGAGTTGTCATGCGCAGTCTGTGCCAAATAAAATCATCTACTGCATTTTATTATAATTCCTTATTCTAGAACCTTACAACATCTCAGTCACAACATTGTATATCCTTATTGTTTTGCCATGTTTGATAGAATCATATTATTTTTTACATTTATAGAAAACTATCAGCTGGGTTGCTTTGTGAAATTTCGCTAAATGTTTCGAGAGTATGTGCGAATGTAATCACTATGCGAATGTAATTTTCTATGTCTTTTCTTGTGAAATATTTTTCTTATTATTGATCAATATGAATAATGCCTTTCAAATAAAATGAGTACTAAAATAATTTGTTAAATGTTATCATAGTACTTTTTATAATTATATATTTGTTGCCGACAATGTTATTATTGTCACGTATATATTTCTTGTAGCTGTACAGTACCAACTATTTATTTCAACTATATTGGAAAACACGGTCTTCACTGATGGCATATTTTTTTTAATCCCACTTTGGCATTTACATGTATACCTTAAAGGGATACAAAAGTCCAGAATTTATCACTTTCACATTGATTCTTTAAAAATGTGAGACCGCCTGTACGCTTAAAATGCCCCGGTTTAAAACAAATGGGAAAATAAACAAAATGAAGCGCTCACTTTGCCGTTTCCCTGGGGGCGCTACAGCAAACTGTGACGTCATTTCTGAACCACACTTTATTTACGCTATTCGTGTATAGGTTTGCGTCTCTACTTTTCTGAACCGCCGTGAATACAAAATACTATGGTAAGGTGCTGTGCAGTTGACTGCAACAATGATTCAAGAGAAACTCGAGGGGGGTTAGATGTTATTCAATTGAGAGGCAAATGGTTAATGAGTAATATTGGCAACTTAAATACTCTCACATGTAATTATGCTCTGAACATTATTATCATGCTATTATTAGAATACTGCAATATTATGCATAGTGGTTGTGCGCTAATCATAACTGACGCGTAAATACAGTACCATCGTATAAACTTACAATTAACTGTAGAGGCAAATAAACAATAATTGCAATATTTAAATGTATACTAGTGTATTAAATTTGTTCTATCAAAAGCCCGCCCCCTATCAAGTGCCATTAGTCTATACGGCGTCTTACTGATGGTTGAATTATGTTGTTTTATCTGACAGAAAATATTTTCACTAATTTGAATCGAACATGGCGTTTTTGTGAATACACTTAATTCACCGCACTTTTATAAAATACAATACATGAAATCACCATGACAACAAAATGTGACCACAATACAGTAGTTTCACACCAAAGGATTGATATTCAAATCCGGATAGTATAGCATAGGATAGGATTGTATAGGATAGGATATTTTATTCGGAACATATACAAAACAAAGCCTATGCAAAGTCATAAAATAAAAGACATAAATAACAAGATAGAACAGCTAAAATCAAACAAGAAAAAAAAATCGTTAAAATGCTGGAAATATAACTGTCATTACTAAGAAAGCACTCTTGAAATGTTTAAACCAAGCATCTACACCAGTGCTGTCAGTAGTATTTAAATTGCCTTCGAAGTTGATCCAATATATTTTTAATTATATTATAGCATTATCAATACCAGTGGATTTTATGATGTCATTGCAGCAGATTATTCGCGATACTGTATTACATTATTGTGCATCAATCAAGGCCCCGTGTCATGGATGTGAATACAATGTTGTTTTCGAAAACGGATAAAGGAGAAACTATTTAAAAAGAAATTGTTAGATAACAAGTATTTCATACTAAAATGGGCATCAAATAAAATGATCCATTGCCAATAACAGCGGATTTCAATTTCGAAATCAAACAATGTTGTGCGTCTGTTCTATCTACTACGCGCGCTTGTTGGACCCGATAATGTAATACATTCCTGATAATGTATCATGAACCGATAATGTAACACGAATTAACTGTATTGTAATAAAAACCGATAAACAACTCGCAACCAATAATGTAACAAAAAGGGCAACCGATAATGTAACACAAAATAACTGATAGTGTAATATATTTTTCCAACTGATAACGTAACAAGATGACTACCGATAATGTAAAAATATGTAAATAGCTGCAGATCTTGGCGAATTTTAATGGAAAATTGGCAGATATAACATCGATTGAAGGAGAACTGATGAACTATCGAGAATGTTTTTGTATTTGTAACGGTGATAAATGAATGCCTGTGAAAATAACGATAAATAACGATTATAACATTATTCAATGGTACCATCGTCAGTGCGTGGGTTTGATGACCAATCTGTTTGAAATTTTCGACCACCGGGCATCGGCGAACACCACCAGAAAAGATAGTATAGAAAGAAGAGCATGCCTAGACACTTTCTCTGCGATAATATTTTTTAGGAGTTCTTAAAATTTGTTTTTATAGACGCAAATCTTGTTCTTGTTACAATTGCTAATAATGAAAACATGACAAATCTGTGAAACCAAATGCTCATTTGTTGAATTTCCGGTTGTGAAATGCGTATATTTCACACCTAAACAAACCGAGTGCGCATGTGTGATGACCGTAGTTTCGTCATAATGCGCATATATTTTATGGTCACACTAGTAGCTTCGCGGTGAGTGGCTTTCGCGATAAGTGGGTTTCGTATCTGGTGGGTTTCGCGCATGGAGTAGGGCTTTGTCTCAGTAACTGGTCCTTTCAACCTTGTTGAAAATTAAAGTTTTATGTTTCTTTAACAACTGGTGCTATTCTGGGAATACCATCCTGGCAGGAGATCCAAAATAAGACCCATGCTCAGATAATGTCTCTAGTTTCAAAGAGCAATAAACATTACCATTATGATCTTATTGGTGTTGCAAAGAATAGTTGAATATTGTTTATTGAAATTAATAATTCCCATAACCGTTTTCCAATATAGATAAATTGTAGCATGTAACAAACTGTATAACCCATTATTACTAATGCATTGCAATGCAACTAATTCAAATTGAAAGAAATTGCAATATTCCAAAAATCTAAAAAGTGAATATTCACGGTGTATTTTAAGTCTGACCGGACCGGAAATGCACAAAAGTAATCAATATTTTTCCATGCTAGAATGATGTGTAACTTCATACAGGAATCCTGATAAAGTTCACAACCGGCGAAACTACGAAAGATGTTGTTTCCGCCGTAATTGAAATGAGAGGTTACTTGAAGAAGACGATTGAGGGCGTGATTTTGAATTAGTACCTACCATGGTATAAGGTAGTAATTAAAAATCGATGAGCTAGACAATGTCTTTATCAGGATTAACTTGGGTTGAAACAAAAGGAAATTAGCCAATTAAGAGGCTCAAGTGGCTACATGAGAGGCGTCGTGACTTCTTCCGTTAGTACCTTCCATGGTCTGAGCATGGAGCTAGAAAAGACAGTGCACCGGCGTTACGATTTAGTATCTCAAATAAACAGGAAACACGGCAGCTAAAATGTGTTAAAGTCTATTCGCTTAAGTTATTAAGTTAAGTAAAATTACCATTTTGTAATTGTTCAACTGTTTTGATATGTGCATGGAGGTTTTTTTACTTCCATGGTGTGTGTAACAGTTGTCAATCTAAACCTACTAGGAACACGTCACCGTATCGTGACCTCTTCTACGATTTTTATTTTTGGTGTCTTTAAAAAGTTTCTTTAATTTCCATTGGATCTGTTTACTCCTTCTTTAAGTTTTTGTCGCATAATATCGTACGCCATTATGCTGTTTCCCGTTGAGCTATCAACCTATCGCAGTATTTCTTTATTCTGTCAAATAGAGAGCAGGTCGCGCACCTCGTCAAGTCGGAAATTACGAAAGATGATGTTTTCGCCGTAATTGAAATGTGAGGTTACTTGAAGAAGACAATTGAGGGCGTGATTTTGGCTCCGATAGTTGGGACCCGAAGCGGCGTATACACAGTCGGGGCCATCTCGGTGCTCAACCCCATCTGAGTTCACCCCCCCCCCCCGTGACGGCGGCACAGGGGGGACAGAGAGGCGGCCGCCCCCTCATAAAAATGTCGGAGAGGGGCGTCGCCCCTCAAAAATCAAGCTGAAACTGTTTGTGTCAGCAAAATTCTGACCCTCAAATGCAGGAAATAGCGTTTCAGAGGATCTAGATTTCAAATTTGTTAAGGGTGAGTATGCCTCGGACCCCCTAGTAAGGTCGGAGGTTTGGTGAGCAGACCCCCCAACCCCCATGCAAAATTTCGTGCCGCCGCCTCTGACCGCGAGGGTTTATTGCAGCCGAACTTGGCCCGAGCCTAACGCATATACACGGCCATTGGGGGGGGGGCTCCGATAAAATGCTGTCAAGTGAACGTAGCAATAGACAGACCACGTACCTTCCATGGACAGACTAACAATGCGGCTTTTCCTTTGGTCAGATGCGTGCCACGTTTGTTTTAATCCAATAAACAACCGATCGAACTAGGGCAAAAACACTATGTTCACACGGCAGCATTCTACTAGAGCCGAACTACTGCTCCTCCCACCGATTAACAGGAGATTATTCCCAATGCGTTCATACGGCCGGGAGCCGAACGAGAGCCGAGATCTGCTATAGTTCGATTCTGTTCGGTTCGGATCAGTGCCCTCAAATAATTAGTAGTATAGTATATTTTATTTGACTCAAATTAATGAATTGGGAATACATTAACCATGGTCAATAATCATACACACAAAAACAACAACAACAACACAATAACAAGAAATACAGATATTAAAAATATAATAAAATGTTAAAACAGATAACACTAACAATTAGGTATTACATTGTAAAATTATGTTAATAAACTTTCCTAGACTATTGGCAATGAAACTGTCTTTTATTCCCATAATATGCACAAACATATATTCTTTTGGTAATTTTAAAATATTATCATTGTATAATGATAGAGTATTCCAAAAGTAGCTACGTGCCTTTACAATTTCATCCAGTTTGCAGTCAAAAAGAGCATGCATTTCATCACCAACAGACTGATCAGAACACAGTGTGCAAAATCTTTGCTCTGAGGGTATTTTTTGGTATCTTAATTTTTCAATTGGTAATTTATGTGCTGAAATTCTAAATTTGGTTACACTTACTCTGTGATTTA